AATAATGTATCATTACTTGACAATAATAGAGACACCTTGATTTGAGAATATATATTGTCTCACTTTGTATTTGTGCAATTACTTGTGTTGGTTATGATTATAATTTTTTATTATGTATGATTACTTGACAATAATAGGGATACCTTGATTTGAGAATATATATATATATATATATATAACATATCAAGTGAGAGAGAATTTATTATGAGAGATGAGAGGGTTAAAATGTAACCCTTAGATTAATTTCCTTTCACTTGATTAATCTTTTTTCATATATTCAAATAATAAAATGTATTGCTATAAATTCCCTATATATATATATTTTTTTTTTCATAGACATATAATTTAAGTAGTATTCTAAACAGATAATTAAGAATTAATCTAATATCAATAAAAAATCAATTTTGAAAATATCATGTCCACCTCTAGATCTTATGATCACCTGCTCAAAGACTTAGTTAAGAGACCCTCAAAAAGCTTTAAAAAAGATGAAAGGTTGCTGATTGGGTTTGACGAGTCTCAAATCCTGGTGAGAAACATTCCAATTTGTCTACATCAGAATCAAAGCAAATTATTATGAATATGCAAAAGGCATTCTCCACTTCAGCTACAAGTGGATTGCAATTGCTATTCATAGGTATGTGTACCAACGCCAAGTCCTGTAGTTGCTTTTGTTTTGTCTTTTGGCTCAACATGAAACTTTTTTGCCATGTTGTTTCTTGTCATCATTAAGTTTAAATAATCTTTACTTACTTTCTAAATTATAATTTTTCAATATAATATCCTTTAACACATTCGTTGCCCATCAATATTATTGATTCTACTTGTTTAACGAATCTTGTTTATTATTTAATAAAATTCACATGAATTCCATGTAATAACAAAGTGAGTTGCTGCTGTCAAACAAAGATTTTTTTTTAAAAAAAGGTGAGTTGCTATCTTCAAACAATAAAATGTATTGCTGTAATTCTTCGAATGATAACTATTTTACTTATCCATATCTTTATTTAGTTATTGTTCACACATAAACGGATACATGATGTGACAAGATTATAAATTTGTATTTATACAATATCTGCAATGCCTACTTAATTATTTAGTAAAAGCTTATTTCACATATTGTTTGATCTTCAGAAAATAAATAAAAACCGAAAAGTATCATAATATTAAATGATGATAGAGTATAACAGTTTAAATACTTTTTATTTCATTTTTAAATATATTAATTAGAAATATTAAAAATAAGACTAATAATAATGTTTATAATATATTATTTATATTTTAGAAACCTTTCATTTATTTTATTGTGGTTTATACAAACCATTAATTAATATCGATAAAAATAACTAATAATTTCTAGGACGCTTTTGTTAGAATTAATATACATTATATTATTACATATTATATGAAATTATAATGATAAAAATATATTAAAATAAAGGTTAGGACCAAGATCGTGCTATGTTATGTGTCCTGACTGCGTTCTTCGTACTGCATGACTTTTTTTTTTTTTTTTGTATTAATATAATATTTAATAATATAATACTGAAAGATTAGTGTGTACTGTTGTAGCCTTTATACGAGAATAACAGTTGTTAAAAATTAGAAGTCGTGATCTGATTCACGACTTTTGTTTGATATTCGCATAAAACAAATTACAGTCAATAAGTAGAGTTTTTTTTTTCCTTTTCTTTTTAAATCACAATAAAGAGAGTTAACAGGTGAAATTTTAGAGTGAATTTATGTATCTTATGTTAATTTTGAGGTGTATATTTATTTGGCAAACCTATCATTAACTTTGTGGGAAAAGTATGAAAATAAGACGAATGAAAATGAAGAAAAAAAAAATTAATATTTCATTCTTTTAGTATTACTTCTACATAACACTGTATTAAAGATTTATGCATGTGATGCACAAATCTCTCAAAATATAATAGATATTTCTTGATAACACTTAAGTAATAGAATTAACAAGTTATAAAGAATATCTCCATCTCCCACATAAGGTGATAACAAAAAAAAGACAGAGAGAGATGTGTAGCAAGACCATCTTTAAAACTTTTGAAATTGTTGTATTTATAAAAAAAGAAAAAAAATATTTTTAATTAATTACCTTTTGTCTAAGTCAGGAGGATAATATGTAATCAATTCTTAAAAAATCACGTAAAAAGGATAAAAAAATTAGTTAACAAGACTAATTATAAAAAAAGTTTTGTTAATAAAAATAAATTTAATTTAAAATATTTTTTGAAACTATAATTAAATAAATAAATTATCCATTTTAAAATATCGCTCAAAATATACGGAAAAAAGTAAAAAAAAAAGTGTTTTTTTTATGCACCCATGTTTTTAATCCGTTCACATTGGGAGGAAAATTTGATTTTATAGTTAAAAAATAAAATATGCTTATCTTTACATAACTTTTTTTTTTTTTATCGTGAATATTTAATTATATAATTTATGTTTCTATATTTAACTTTATTTTATTTTATTCTTTCTTATGAACTAATGACCTATAAACACTAGTACAAAATGTGTATTTTACGTCTATTAATTTAGGGTTTTTATGTCGTAAAAAACTTCGACGTCAATGCGGAAGACGTAAATTCACGTCAGTTGTGATGGCTGACGTAAATTTACGTCGAACATTGCCAAGAATCGACGTAAAATTGTGATGACACAAATTTAATGCATTTGGAACGGTCTGTTTTACAACTAGAACGACCCGTTCTGCTTGCAGTCATTGTGTGTTAATTGTTCATCTAGAACGGCCCGTTCTAGTTATAGAACGGCCCGTTCTAGTTGTAAAACGGCCCGTTCTAGATGGAAAATTAACACACAAAGATTGCAAGCAGAACGGGCTGTTCTGGTTGCAGAACGAGTCGTTCCATATGCAAAATCAACAAATTAGCTAATGCAAGTCAGGATTTTTGAAACTAACCTCAAATGCGCGCCCAATGCAAGTCAGGATGCTAGTCAGAAACTCAGGATGCTAGTGAGAAATGTGCAGAAGAAACTCTTTTACTCTCTTGTTTACAAATAGCGGGCGTGGGAAGAGAGAAGTAAAAGGTGTGTGTGGGGTTGAACCTTTTTAGCTTTGGCATAAAGAAGCCCTAGTGAGATCTTATACAAGTCTTCATCAAAGGGTTTTGATGTTGGCCTTGGCAGTGAAATCCACATCACAGATCCAATTCTTCAACTTTGTTTCTTTTTCACGCTGGTCAAGCACCTTTGCCTGCAATGTCAAAAACACAAAGCATATACAAACCTTTTTTACGTCGGACTTAATAGGAATCCGATGTAAAATGTAAAATTTACGTCGGACACAAGATACATCTGACGTAGATTTTAAATTTTACGTCGGACCCCTATTAAGTCCGACGTAAAAGAGTTCACAAAAATTGCAAAAATGCCACTGCCTCTTTTTTATGTCGATTTTCTGTATGTCCGACAACAAAGAGATGACGTAAAAGACTGATTTTCCACTAGTGAAAACCCTCTCACTTTTAGACTTTCTATTTGTTTTTCATTATTTTCGTTTTTTAAACCACACATATATCATATATGTAATACCAATGCCTTTAGCTTGCTGAAACCTGTTTGGTGGTTAGAAACTGTTCATATACACATGACTTATATTAGTCCTGTGCTTAATACTTTAAGAAGGGTTCACTTAAGTATTTTTAGCCTAAATAAAGAAAAAATATTTATTAAAATAAATTATTTTGATCAATATATCAAGGTTGAGAGAGTTGTCGCAACTACGTGCAACATCTCCTTTAGGAGACAAAAATAATGAACAAATCATCTTAGGGTGAGACGTGTTCAGAACTTATAATGTGTTTTGGCGTCATCACAAGTACAATTGTCTTTAAGACATCGCAAGTATAGACGTCATCCATGCAGCTGGCCATAGGTGTGTTAGTCCCTTTTTTACTAAATTGATTGTTAGAAA